TTGGGAATACTTCATAAGTCATTTTATAAAATCAGTAATGCCCTGATATCAAAACCAAAGACATTACAAGAAAAAAAACAGATCAACATTCCTCATCAACATAGATACAAAATCCTTGACAAAATTTCAACAAACTGTATCCAGCAATATATAAAAAGGATAATATATCATGACTAAGTAGGGTTTATCCCAGGAATGTTAGGTTAGTTTAAGATTTAAAAAAAGCAACAATTAGTGCAATTTATTCTATTAACAGAATAAGAGGATATCACACGATCATTTCACCAGATGAAAAGGCATTTGACAAAATTCAACACTCATTTGTGAGGAAAATTCTCAGTAAATTAGAAATAGGAGGGAACTTCCTCAACCTAATAAAGGACATTAAAGAAAACCCTACAGCTAACCTCACACTTCATAGTGAAAGATTAAGTACTTTCCCCCAGTGATTGGGAATAAGACAAATATGTTCATTCCCACCACTTGCATTCAGAATTGCATTGGAGGTCCCAACCAGTGTAATAAAGCCAGAAAAAAGAAATAAAAGGCATGAAGATTGTAAAGGGATAAGTAAAACTCTCTTTATTCACAGATGACATGTTTGTATACATGGAACATGCTAAGGAATCTACAAAAAAGCTACTAGAGCTAATGTTTAGCAATGTTATATTATTTAAGATATATATTAAAAAGTCAATTATATTTGTATTTCTATGTTCTAGCAACAAACAATTGGAAACTGAAATTTAAAATACCATTTATAATAACATCAAAGTCATGAAATACTTAGGGATAAGTTTAACAAAATTTGTGTAAGACCTGTTCACTGAAAAGTATAAATTAAACTTTGAAATTAAAGACTGAAGCAAATGGAAAAATATACCAAATTCATGTATCGAAAGGTAAATATTGTTAAGATGTTATGTTTCCCCAAATCAATCTATGGATTCCGTGCAATCTATAGACTGCAATGCAAGACTGTTTTGCATTAGTAACATACACTTGTAGATAAATCAACTTAATTCTTTTCAGTGGTTACATATATTCCCTCATATGAATGGGGCATAAGTTATCTAACCAGTACGTCAAAAGGAGTCTGGTTAAATAAATGTTTTTGGTTCACCAAATACTGTTCATAAACCTACTTTATGATTCAGGTATGTACACATAGCTCATATATCTCTGTGCGTGCGTGTGTGTGTGTGTGTGTGTGTGTGTGTGTGTGTGTATGAATACATGGTATCTTGTAACTGTCTTACTCTATCCTAGGTCATAGGATCCAAATAGTATTACTGGATTACAGAACATTCTTATCTGTAGTAGTCCATAAGCCTTATTACACAGAGTGGATGATTTGCTAAATTAGCCACATACTGGGCTTTTTTAGGGGACCCCATGTTACCTTTGGGCCTTCCCTATGGTGAAGATACTCGGGCCAGTCATATGGATGGGTTCCATTCCTCTCAGCTTTCCCAACTGGGCCCAACTCTTCTTCCAGCTGGGATTGCCTCCTTATTCCACGCCTGGCTGGCCAACCTGGCTCTCCAATTCCTGGCCTGGAACTAACTCCCTGATCAATGGCTTTAGGGCATGACTGGTTTTGTATCTCATGAGGGTTATGACTGAAATCTCACCACTAATCACTTCATTTATTTGCCTTCCCAACTCTCTTCCTTTCATTGGAGATCTTATGTTTCCCCATGGGTACATCTATTTCCTAAGGCTGGGATATCTGGTACTTCTTGCAAAGAATAGGCAATTGCTACTGGGGTTAAATTGTTTCCAGAAAAAGGATAGATTATGCTTCCAATACTTCCATCTTAAAAATACAAGTTTTCTACTGTGAATGTTGAGATACTTATTATTCAAACACTCATTTGTGCAGTTGTTCATTCAATGAATGAATATCAGCGAGGTGGGTGGCTAACACTCTGATAAGCACTGAGGGGGAAGGCAGGCAATCAAAAACACAGATGACCAAATGAATTGCTACAGACGTGAGGTTACAGGAGTGTCCTTCAACCTCTTAACAGGTTTGCCTTTCTCAGCTCTCCCCCTTTTGCAGTCTATCTTCTATGCTCTACCAAGTGTGCTTTCGAAAAACCAAAGCTCATGTTTTCACAGGAAAAAAAGTGTAAGTTCTTTAGTGTAGCATTCAAGGCTCTTCATAATCTGGCTCTAATTTCCATTCAAGCCTTAAGCCTTCCCACTTTTTCTCATAAACCCTATGTTCTACTACTATATTAAACTTCTCACTTGTCCCAGGAGGCACTGGATCCTTCCTAGCCTCTATTCCCTCTCTCCAGAATGCCTTTCCCTCTTCTTCATCTGACCAACTCCCAATCAACCTCCAATATTCAGTTGAAAGCCTTGGTGAAACCTTTCCTCTATGCTCCTCATCTGTCCTGGGTTTGAGCACTTTGTCCTGTTGCCTTTATTAGATGTTGAGATTTTTTGAGAGCACTGGGTTTATCTTGTTAGTTTCTGTGTCTCTGAATCCAGGTCTGAATAGGGCCTGGCAAGAAGTAGGGGCCCAATGAAAATTTGTTAAATGAATGAAGGAACAAATGAACGTGAAGGAAGAGCTGAAAGGGCCTTGAAAGAGTCTTGGTATACTTAGGTAAGGGATGTTTTAAAGGCATAGGGTTTTAAACTGGACCTAGGAAGACAGTAGTGAGGTGGGGAAAGGGCATCCAGAGGAGGAGGATTATTATCCTAGGAGACAGCAGAACAAAAGCCCGAGACTGAGAAGGAAGACAGTGAGGGCGTGAGCCAGACTGTGGCTGCCTGCTGCACTCTCCTGACCTTTTCACCGATTAGATTTCTTAATTGTATTTTCAGCTCGTGGAGGGCAGGGTATTTTGTATACTTCTTTGTATCCCCTTTTTATTTGATGTACATCCCCACAACCATTGTTCCTACAGTTCTGGGGTTCTCATTTCTGCTCTGTAATGTAATTACCTGTGTATCTACATATCTCCCCAGCCTTTATACCCCCATTTATCCTAGGCTGCTTGGGGTAGGGGATGAGGTCTTGGTGTTTCTGTATCTTCTAAGACACCTATAGCATAGTGCCTGGCACACAACGGGTGCTCAGTACATTTTTTTTGAGCTACCATCTGTTGATCTGATTACTGAGGACCGCAAGGGTATTTGTGGGCAACTGTGTATTGTGGCACGTAACTTATATATGGCTTCACACTGTGTGGGCTATTTTTGGCAATTTTCATTAAAATGTTATCTTATTGTACCTGGAACACTGTCATTTCAATTTTCTTCTTTGTTCCCTCTTGGATGACTCACATCTCTTAGACCAGAAGGCTATGACAGAAGGGATTCAAAAAGAGTTTGGGCAAATTTATGAATGACAAAGTCATAAATGGCTGGGTATAAGAAGTTGTTAGGTGCATACAAAGGGGAAGGAGAAAATCTGCATTTCAAAAATGCCAACTGTCTGCCAAGAACTGTGTGTTAGGTGTTTGACATTCGTTATATCTCATTTAATCCAGCAGACTACATCACTATAAAGATAGGACATGTCTATCTAGAAGGTCAAGTCCACATCCAGCCAGGCACTTAGCTTCTCCAGGTACCAGAGGAACTATTCATCTTTATTAAGATGTTACCAACCTTTTAACATAGACAAATCTATAGATTTGCATTGTTTCCTAGGAACAGAACACTCGTTCTCAATTCAGCCTCCTACAGCTTAAAACTACTTTTGACATAACTTGATCAGTTTTTAAAGTCTCAGTGCTTTAAATTACAATGCAATCTGAGATATTCCCACAGCAATAACAGCGATTATATTTGTTCACAAATGTAATTTGTTCGCTTACCTTTATATTTCATAAAGCTTCCAAATACTGAATAGAGGTAAGTCAAGTCAAGAAAAGAAACTTCTATTAACCCTGACACCAGCAAATTGTCTCAAATTACAGTGTGCCTTCTATTTGTATTCTAGACACATTGAGTGGTTTTTCTGAGATACATATTATACCTCATCTGTGCTCTGGAGAAAATTGGAAGGAAATTAGTTTAAGTTGTTTCTAATTTTTAAAAAATAATAGTAACTTGAAAAAGCATAATGCTCCCGAGGGTACATTTTGCATCTTGCAGGAATCAAAATGTTATAGCCCAAATACCATCTCCACTCCTTGGGAAATGGCTTGAGAAGGTGGGGCTGCAGTCACTGATGCATTATTATAAGTCACACACTCTAAGTCCTGCAGCTACACATCCTGATCTGTGATAACGGGCTTCCTGCCAGGTGTCGGCAGGGAGTGATGGGAAGAGAAGGGGTACACCTTCAGATAAGGGATCATCAGCGCACTCACAGGGCTCAGAGAGCTTTCTATTAAACCTGTTTTGAGAAAACTAGAACAGACAGCTTTGGAAAATGGAAAGTCCATCTCATATGACTAAAGAACATGGCAAAGGTTCAAATAACATGTTTCACATTTTGGATGGTCCTACCCTAACTTCTGTATGCCACTCACTGATCACTGGAAAAATACCAGACCTGTCTTTGTGGTGATTATGTGTTTTGTTAAATTTGACATTAGTCAAAGAACACTGAGAGACCAGGACTACCACTGAAGAACATAGGTGTGACACACTGCCTATAAGACTTTTTAAAGATAGAGAAGGACCCAGCTTATACATTTCAAAAACTGCCCCTTCTTTTTTGAGGCTAGGGGATGAAAATACGCACATATTCCAAAGAGTTCTTTGTGTGAACAGGTGACCCCTTCCCACAGTCTCTGTAATTAATTGAGAAATTAAAGTTGGTTGGCCTTTGAGATCTCTTGTAAAAAAAAAGGCAGAAGGTCTTGGATATTTTGGAACAAGAGTCCACTATTCTGCCAAGACAGTATGTTATTGTTATTGGAGTGTCTCTCAACAAAACGGTATTGAGTGGTGAGGACGTGATTTTGATTAGGTGGAATGACTCAGCTCTTCCCCTTAAAGAAGAGAGGACTTGTCAGAGCCTTACTTACCTCATGATCCGGGATCTCAGAGGATAGTGTTTTCCCTAGGATGACCCCGGTCAAGTATGTCCAGCATCGAGCCGTGTTGGCAAGGTTATAGCCTCCTGTCTCCATCAAGAATTGTGAAGTTAGGAAAGAATAGTCACAAAACAGCAGGAGAGGGAAGGGGAGGGGTAAGGAAGGAGAAAAAAAGGTTTTAATAAAAGGGCCAAGAAGACAATTCCAACTTGCAGAATTTCACCTAAACACCTCTTTATGATATTTCTGAACCATCTGGTAGGCAGACTTTAGGGGACCAGTCACACCATGTACAGGGTGGAACTGGGAAGTCCAAGGCCCACGAAGATTAAAGCGGCCCTCGTCTCTGAACAAGCATGCACCTGAGGACTCCAAGCTCCTTAATTCCCTCAAGAGTCATCGGTAAGATTGAGATCCCTGGAACTCGGATCGCTTGAGGCAACATACTCCAAGCAAAGGGTTCTGTGATGAATTTGGCACCAATTCTATACAATGACTGCTGGATGTGATTTGTATGTTAAACTATTGGCAGACAGAGTCCTGGAAACCTTCAGGAAAGAGAAAAGGAAAATGCTGACAGAAACAGACTTCCTTCTTTTAATATCAGCATTCCTTTTCCTCACCAAACACAGGCTGAGTGACAGAGATCAAAGAGAATGAGATGAGGAAGGGACTGTTGATTGACGCCCTGACCCATCTCGTCAGGTCCTGTCACAGTCACCCGGCAGCCATATTATACTGGCTAATAATCAGCATATTTTTGTGCTGAATAGATGCGTTCTGCCATGCAAGCATTAGAACATTGGCCTTTAGCTAAATTCCAAGAGTATAAGGATAAAATGGAATGATTTCCCTAACCTCAATGCAGCCTGCAGGAAATAGAACCTGGTCTATTTTAGGGAGGGTGACCATATCATTTATCATCCCAAATGGTGCACTTTTAAGAGTAAGAAGGGACACTATTAATAATCACGTCAGAGTAACATGTATAAATTGAGGCATATGGTCACCCTTTTCTTAAGCTTTTCTACTCCTTGAAAGGTCAGGGATGTTGGGGCTTCTGCAATGTGTCTTTTAGGCCTCGATGGGGTCCACTGAAGCTTGGGGACATTGCCATCTCCGCTAATTGTCTATGTGTTATTGGAGGTGGAGAATTTAGGTGAAATAGCACAGGTATTACTTTAAATGCTCCTGCCTTGGAAAAATCTAAATTTATAAGATCAACTTATTGGGTTTGAGTATTGGATTTCAAAAAGAGTCACTATAGGTTTTAAGTAGCAAGCTCTCTCTGGCGCATACACAATATGATTTGATTTGCAAAAATTCCATTCATGCACAGGTATTTTCAGGAATACACATATTGCAGAAGAAGAGTCATATATTCAAGAGCCAAAACTTGGGGCTGAAGAAGCAAAGACGCTTTGAAAAATGCTAAGTAAAGGCTGTAGCCTCAAACAAAAGTTGGATTCACACAGATATGGATTGTGGAAAGGGCTTTTTTCTTCTTGCTGGCTGTACTTGTATCATAATCACCGTCTTTAGTGCCATCAGGGAAAGTAATATGTCATGCAGTACTTACCAATTTTATCTTTTCCCTGAGTTGAAGTTAATACATTTCTTGCCAGCTTTTCTAGAGGTTGTCTCTTATAAGCACCTTTAATTTTGATCCTTCTAGGGTAACTTGGTTTTTACAAGAGGTTGACAAACAGCAAACTATTTGCTGTTCCACAATACATACATTTTAAGCTCAGTCTGCTTGACCATGTTATTTTCACACACCAATCCATTCATCTAACGAAATAAAAATTGTGCCAGATAGAAGATTCTAAGCAAGACATCTTCAGAGGTAGTTGAGGTAGTAAAAGGTCCCTTTCACAACTGTGTAAATGCTTCTATTGAATAGACCTCACTTTTCATTGGTTAAATAATACAAAACATCAGTACTCGCTGAAGACGGAATGCACAAGAGGCACTTTAGATCTCTCAATTCTGCTTTATTGTTACAAATCCATGCTTTTTTTTTTTAGTGGGGGAGAAATTGCTCTTGAATTCAGCTTAGATATTCAATTAATTCGTATGTTTACTACTTATATGTGAGTAGGGTTAGAATTTTAGTGGTATGTTTCCAAAAGGTGATGATAAGATGTGGGAATCAAAAACCATACTGAGAGAAGATGGATCAAAGTCCACTGGGTTTAATATCCTCCATTCTTAATGAGATCTGGTGTCACCAAAGCATCTTTGCTTCAGGAATGGAAACTTAAGACTACAGGGTGCCAAGGTGTCAAGCACATGCCACGCTGAGGAAGAGAAGTGTGTCAGAGTACTTCCCAATGCTGAAATGTGAAGGTGGCCGAATTCATTGACTCAGGCTTTGGGACCATAGGTAGGTTGGTATTAGTCAATCTACGAAAGCCAAGTTTTCCTCAGCATCAATGGACAAAACATGGTGGAAGGTCAACAAGTTCTCCTAGTGACCTTTCTTTGTACTCACCTCCTCCCAAAATGAGTGTTGCCAGTTGCCACTGAAGGATGTACTTAAGACACTTGCCAATTCCCACGGGAGTCATGTTAAAGGAGCACATGGGATCCCCAGCTATTGTATCAGCTCCCAGCTGTAGGACCACTGCTTTTGGATTAAAGGCTATGTAGACCTCCTTTAGCACACTGTAGAAAAGAGAAAGGAGACAATATGTCAGAAAAAGATAGGTCAATTTGAACTCGGAGTGGTGATGTGTGCAGTTGGAGGTATAGTAGAATCAGCTAATAGTGAAGGGGAAAAACCCCAACTTGTCAGACTCATCAGACTTTCCATTTCCAAAGGGTTAATCAGACGGCATATGAATTATACTGTAGTAAACCTGACTTACGGAAAAATCACTCCCCCAGCCTCACCAAGGACTGAATTTGTTTTCCTGTTTTAGAATGCAGACTGCCTTTAAATATTCATCTTAATTTAACATCAACAGCCACAGGACATAGTATATATATTTACCCCAACTTTATAAGCTGTGAAAATAGGACAAATACCCTGAATACGGTATTATTAAGGCTTATTTCTGATAATTTAAGATTGTCAACATATTTGGAGTTTATCAGCTAGTTATCAATGAGGGCTAGTGAAGAGAATCACATGCTTTGAAAGCACCGATGTTATCCGCTTACTTTTTATTAGGCTAAAGGACTTCTGGGTTATGAAATGCAGCCCTCCCCAACTTGTACGTAACCAGGGTATTATAGGGAAGGGAACCATTAACAGTGGATCCCAAATTATAAAACTGAAAGCATTCTAAAGAATATAGTGGGTAATAATGAACACAATCTGAGGCAGAATCATTCAATGCTATCGAATCAATCTAGCAGCCCTTTTTTTTTTTTGACAGTTTGGAGCCTTAGAGATGAAAAGGAAGTTGTCAGTGTGACAGATGACCTTAGTCAGGCTCCCAGCATTATCATTAACTGAACACTGACAATGTCCAGAAGGCATTCCTAGGAGTTATAAGGTCCCTGCTCTCGAGGGGCTTACAATCTAGCTCCCAGACAAAACACACACCAGTTCTCGAGGGCTTGAGTAACTCTTCCAGAGACATATAAACAAGTGCAAATTAACATACTTCAGAGTTGAGAAAATGCAGAGTCAAAAAGTGATCAAAAATGTTGGGGTGAATGACCCCTTCATAATCAACATGTCAAATTACACCAGTGCAGCAAAAATGGAAAAATCCCAGATCCTTCTGAAACTGCACAAAGAACTGAGGGATATAAAATGCCGTCCTCCCCAATTCATATGTAACCAGGGTATTGAAACTATTGAAAAGTATTCAGCTGCAGGGGCATTCTTTGACTCAAAAGACCGTTTTGTTTTTATTTCTCATCTATGCAGACAAATATTGAGTGATTGTGGAGATTATAAGAATATTATAAAACTTATGACATATGATCCTTAATACAGGACTACTTGGGCTTGTTCTCTTTCTCATGCGCTTATCTCCTGGGTGCAGAGGGAAGATAAGCCACCTGAATGGTTAGCCAACATTTATTGAGCAGCTACACATACAGAGCACCCTATTAGCTGCTGCCGGGAGACACAGACGAAGGCGTGATCTCTGCTTTAAAAAGGTTTATAACTTAATGGGGATTGGGGGAGAGCACAAGCAAGACTACCGTTTTTTCCATTCATTCCTTCCCTCACTTGGCACGCATTTACTGAGTGCCCTCTGTGTGTTCAGCGTGCAGCTGTACCAGATGCCACAGGGGAAAAAAAAAGATGAATATGGCACAGCTCTTATCTTCACATAGCTCAGAACAGAGGGGAAGACTCAGATCGTGTCAATAAATAATTAAAACACAAAGATAAATGAAGTATCAGAGATGGCACAAAGGCGGGAGTAATCATGTTTTCCAGGGGATGTTAGAAAAGGCTCTACAGAGTAATTCTTGACAGGTCTTGAAAGATGAGGAGAAATACAATGAGCCATCGATCAAAACGGTTGAAGTGAAAAATAGTGATAATATCAATTGCTGGTGGGGATGTGGAGAAACTAGATCACAGACACCTTTTAGATGAGAATGTGAAATGGTAGAGCCCCTCTGGAAAAGAGTTTGGAGGTTTCTGTCAAAACTAAAACTAAACCTACCATACAATCTAGAAATTGCATTCTTAGGCATTTATTCAAGAGAAATTAAGACTTATTTGCATAGAGGAGCTTGTTCACAGCAGCTTTATTTGTAACAAGCTAAACTGGAAACAAGTCAGATGTATTTCAACAAGTGAATGGTTAAACAAACAAGTGAACGGTACATCCATACCATTGGAATATCACTAATCAATGAAAAGAAGTTAACTATGGATACGAGCAAAAAAATGTGGATGGATCTCAAGGGAATGATGCTGGGTGAATAAAGCCAGTCTCTAAATCTGTACTGCATGATTCCACTGATATATCATTTGAGAAATTAACAATCATAGAGATGGAGAACAGATTAGTGGTTGCCAGGGGTTAGGGATGCATGTGGCTATAAAAGGGTAGTATGAGAGACCCTTGTGGTGATGGTACAGTTCTGTATCTTGATTGTGCTGGTAGCTGTAGTTATGCAAAGCTACACATGTGATAAAAATTCCATAGACCTACACACACACACACACACACACACACACACACGAGTGCAT